TCCTGGACTGCCCTGCACTGGCAGGACATGGGCGCCAGCCCAGAGAGCCATGAGTACCTACCTGGGCCTGAGGGTGAGGCCTTGACAGTAGTGACAAGGGCAGCGTGTGGAACGGACCAACCCCCAGCCTTCTCTGTACTGCCCTGGGCCCTATGCAGGTTGCTGCCCAGACTCGCCTACCTGCCCGTCAGAGGACACAGGCTCCACCCCACCGCCTGGCTGGTGTGGCCTTGGGCAAGATGCTAACCCTCCCTGTGCATGGGACAAGGCTTCCGAGCCCAAGAGGGCATGTGGTACTTCGATCCTGAGCACTGGATCCATGGAGGGGCTGCTGCTAATGGTGATAGGGTTTTTTGTTGTGTCGTGCCAGTCGGCTCCAAAAAGTAGGTCAAGGTGCCAGTTTCTCCCAGAAGGGGACTGAAATTGGTGGCCTGAATTGCCTCCCGGTGCTGTATATCCTACGGGTAATTCTACTGCAAACTTCTGCTTTTCTCCAGCCGCCTTTGGAAGTGCCAGAGGCAAAGCTGTGTCCCTTTAGCGGTTTGCCATTCCCGGGCACAGGGACCTGGGTTGCTGAGGGGACAGTGGGCTCAAAGAGTATGGGTTTGCTTTGTGGTTATAATTTTCCCCCTTATAAAAGGAAGATTATAGAAAATTTAGACCAGAGAATAGCTCTGAAGTTGAGGGTCAAGAATCAGAGGCCTTGTGTCCGTGCCTGTGTGTTGGGCTTTGGCACCATGCTGCTTGTGCCCTGCCCAACTCACTGAATGCTGCTCTGGGCTACAGCGAGTCCTCACAGGGCTCTTGGCTGCCTCCTCTCTGCACAGCCTCTGCTTCCTTAGATAGCAATGTGAGGACTGTGGAGAAGGATCTTTGCTCAAATCTGAGCTCAAATGATTGGCTCCTGATTGTCCTGTGGTCTAGGGAATTCCTGGGGAAGTCGGAGCCTGAGCACCAGCACTGAGCCTGGCTGGGGGAAGGAAGCATGAAGACCTCTGCCCTCCTCCCATTTTCCTCCAGTCAGCAGCCCAGCATCCTGGAGCCCCGGGGGGCCAGCACCTGCAATGCTCAGGAGCCCAACTTACACCAGGAGAGGACTCAGATGCCAGGTGGGGAGGACCCTGCAGGCCTGCAGTGCCCAGAGGCCTGAGCGTGGCTGTGTGTAGAAAGCGTGGGTGGCAGGCACGTGGCTCTCCTTGCCGCTACGCAACCTGAGATCTTGTTGGGAGATTTATTGACAGCAGGCAGCCATCACTGCCTGGTTGATGCTGCACTGAGCTGGGCAGGGGGAGGCCGGGCAGGGGACTCTTAGGGCTCAGGACCATGCTGAGCTTTCCGACACCACCCACAAAGAACGTGGGGTCCAGGTTCTTTCTGCCCCTTCCCAGCACACGCAGAATGACTCCAGTGGTTCCATCGTCCCCTCTTGCCCTGTGTACCTGCTTGCCTTCGTCGGCTGCCCTGCCTCCTCTGGGCTGGCCCACTCACCCACAGTGGAGGTGCCCAGGATCTGCACTTCCTCCCCTTTCACCCACCTGTACGCCTAACCTGGCCTTAGACTGAGCTTTATTTAAGAATAAAATTGTGGTGGTGGTACTTTTGTGTCTCTGCAGCGCGAGAAGGGTCAATGTTGCCTGCTGCCCCGCACACTCTCAAAGCCCCAGAGCCGCCCACAGCCCCAGCCAGGCTCAGAGCTCAGCCTCTAGCCACTTTGGAGCCACTCCATGACTCAGCGTCAGGCTATGAAATTTCCATTTCCAGCAGCTCAGAAATTTGTCAGGAGTAGGAAGTTTTGTTCACCTGCCCACCCCTTTCTCCAAGTTGCAGGCCGAGCATCAGCAGCTGTGGGCTGGCAGGGAGCCCAGAGGTCCTTGCGGTTGCACTCCCTCTTCGCTGGGGTACCCTGAGCTACTTACAGTGGCTCTCAAATCCAGAGAACACTTTTCCTACACAGGGGAGCAGCTGAGTAGACATTCCTCCGGAGGTCAGTCATGAAAACGCTGGCCCCCTTCCTGGCCAGGGTATGTCCTGGCTCCCCGTCTCTAATTAGGATGTCATTTCTGTTCTGCCCACCCATGGCCCCGCAGACACCACATGCCCCTGGGTTGGGATCTCCCTGCACAGCCATCTGAGCCGGGAACCCACGTGGCGTCCCAGACTGTCTCTGCGAGGCTATAGGAACCCCTAGGGGAGCCAGGCAGCCCCTTCTTTAGGACGCAGGTGGACTCCAGCATAGAGCCCGAGGCTGCTCTCCTGGCCTTGTCCCGTATTGTGGCTCCTGACCACGAAGCAGAGGCGACCTGCTCTACCTGGGCTAGCCTTCATCTTTTCCTCATTTTTTTGTCCATGTAAGCTACTTTGGATCCTTGGCTGGGGGACTGAGGCAAGATATAAACTAAAAATACAGGCTCCTAGTGGGTGTTGTTTTTTGAGACAGTCTCACTGTGTTGCGCAGGCTGGAGTGCAGTGGCACAATCATAGCTCACAGCAACTTCCACCTCCTGGGCTCAAGCAGTTCTCCCACCTCAGCCTCCCAAGTAGGTGGGACTACAGGCACATGCCACCATGCCCAGCTAATTCTTGTATGTTTTGTAAAGATGGGGTTTTGCCATGTTGCCCAGGCTGGTCTCGAACTCCTGAGCAATCCTCCTGCCTTGGTCTGTCAAAGTGCTGGGATTACAGGCATGAGCCATTGCACTCAGCCAAGCTACTAGTGTTTTTTGCAAAACTGACAGATGCAGATCAGAGTGAGATAGGTGCACTGTGTGGCAGCTGCTCCGCCATCATCACCTGTCAGCTCATTACATCCAAGTGCCCTACCCAGGGCTGCTGAGCTCCGTTGTCCAAGCAACTAATCCCTGGGAGAGAAACCCACAGACCTGGGGAGGCAGACTCCCAGGGCACCATCTTGGTGCCGCCCACCCAGGTGCATGGTGGGTGTGGGGACGAGGACAACCTGGCAGCACCAAGCCCTGCACAAGCAGGTCTCAGGCCAAGGACACCCACGGCACTCCGGCATCCCAGTTTTTGGGTCTTCAGGGTAGCACTGAGCCCTAGGCTCGTTTCTCCCGATTTCTTCATCTGCAACTATATAATTGAGGGGGGATGTTTTGGTCCCCAGGGCCAGGAGTGGGAGACAAAAGCTGCAGGTGCAAAGGGACCAGCACAAGTCACACCAGAAAGGCCAGTGTTTCTTATCCCCAGATAGCATGTTTAGTAATGGCTGGATTTGATAGGATTTTAAGAAAATAGCTAGCTTGGCCAGGAACAGTGGTTCACAACTGTAATCCCAGCACTTCGGGAGGCTGAGGTGGGTGGATCACCTAAGGTCAGGAGTTTGAGACCAGCCTGGCAAACATGGCGAAACTAAAAATACAAAAAATCAGCCAGGTGTGGTGGTGGGTGCCTGAAATCCCAGCTACTCAGGAGGCTGAGGCAGGAGAATTGCTTGAACCCAGGAGGTGGAGGTTGCAGTGAGCCAAGACCGTGCCATTGCACTCCAGCCTGGGCAACAAAAGCAAAACTCCATCTCAAAAAAAAAAAAAGCTAGCTGTTCAGGTACACATGGCCCCAGGTCCCACACCTTGTGGAGATGCAAACTTTTCTGCCCTCAATCCCAGAATGATGGGGTATAATTCAGGCCCAGCTCTAGTTTCAGAGGGGGGACCTGCAGCCCACTTGCAGGTCTCATCACTGCACTGGCACCACCCTGGGCCTCAGGCCTGTGTTGTCTGCTTCCCACAGCCTCACAATACCACCTGCAGTTGGTGAAACACAGACCCCACATCAGCCAACCACAGCCACAAAGGTTTAATCAGTTTATCTCACAAGTCAGTAACAATGAGGGGCACAGTGGTGGTCAGGGTGGTGGCCCCAGTGACCAGCTCAGGGAGTATGGCCTCCTCCACACAGCCACTGCCTGGGACAGATGCTATCAGGGCACGACCACGGCCCAGCACTTGCCCCACTCAATAAAAGGCTGTAGTGCTCTGGTGGGCTGTGCACCGCACGCAGATCCTCCTGGTGGGCACTGGAGGCCAGGGTGAAAAAGAGCCTCCCTGCAGCCCAGATCCAGCATGCAAGGTGCTAGATTTCTCAGCAGTTCCACAGGGAAGGACAGTAGCCTGTCCCTGCTCTCTCGCTTGGGCATGGGAGGCAGGCTGGCAGCCTTGGGGAGGGGCAAAGCTGTGAAGGGCTCACCCCCACTTCCCAGTGCCAGGCCTGCTGTCTACGCAGAGCAGAAACGGGTTCTTCTGGGACCACTAGTCCTTCTTCCAGATGAGGCTGTGGCACTGGTGGAAAGGGAGGGAGAATGGAGCCTGGCTCTTGTGTGTACAACAGGAAATGCACATTAGGACACAGCGGGAGGCAGAGGGAGGGCACAGACCTGCCCCCAGCCAGGCAGAAAATGGGCCTCCCCAAGCACAAAAGTGACCAAGTACAATTTTCAGTTGCTGAAACAAGACTAGTTTCATTTCCATGTGTAGTTATTTTCTCTTTTGAATAAGCAAAACCAAGCTAAGCTGCATCAGCCAACTTCATCTTGACCAAGACCTCTGAGACGGCAGACACAAGCACCCACTCCAATGTACCCCTCGGTCATCCCGAGTTCCAAGCACCCACACAATGCCCAAGATGGCTACAAAGGGAAAGCCCCATCTGGGTCCATGACCCATATACCAGGTGCAGAGCCAGGACAGAGGGCAGGGGGCTGTGAAGGCAATACCTGGAGGATCCAACCCCTCCCAGCATGGCCAGGAGGCAGAGCCGGGCAGGGTGACTGGGGCTACATGGGGCTTGGCCCTTCCCTGTGGCTGGCAGCCCAGATGCTGCAGTAATACGTCCCCAGGCTTCACTACAGTCACTGGCCCAGACCCCAGAATCCAGAGGCTCAACACTAAAGACATCAGCTAATACATAGCAAGATGCGTGCAAAGTTCTAGGGGAGCCCAGCAGGCGACTTCACCTGCCTCCCACTCTGGTACTGTCGACTCTGTACAAACCTCCCCTTTGTACCGTCAACTCTGGCTTCCTTTACAAGAAACCAGGAGCACTTCTAGCACATTCCTCCTTTGCCCTGCTCTCTCAAAACCACCCTGACCTCCACGGCCCCTCCTGGAAACATGGTACTCAGAAAAGCAGGGACCACCAGCGGCTGGCAAAGTGCTTGGGGAAAAAAGGAGGTGCAAAGTCAGCAAGAAAACAAAAGCCCGCTGGTCCCGCCAAGGCAGGGTGCGCCTAGTCCCGGGGAATGTTGGGGGGCGGGATCTGCAGGTCGGAGGGCTCCACGCCCCAGATCTCCCGCGCATACTCCGTGATAGTCCGGTCACTGGAGAACTTGCCCGAGCAGGCGATATTCCTGATGACCTTCTTGGTCCACCCCTTGGGGTTCTGCAGGGAAGAAGATGAAATTAGTCTCTGGCGTCACAGGGCTAGGGGCTGCTAAGAGCATGGGATTCCAGAACTTTAGGACTGTTTCCAAATGAGCTCTGAGCCTTGGGGCTGTCCACTGGAAGAGGAGGACATTACAATCAATTGTTTGTTGAAAAGGGGACCCCACGGACCAGGAAAGCTACCACATACCTAGATACAGGAAGCAAGGAGCTGGAGAGAAGGTCCCAGCCTTGAAAATTCCTGCTAGGGCATGGCCCCCAAGATGACGATAGGGATAGCACCAGGTAAGAACTGCCCAGGCAGGGGCCGGGTGCAGTGGCTCACGCAATCCCAGCACTTTGGAGGCCGAGGCGGGCGGATCACAAGGTCAGGAGATCGAGATCATCCTGGCTAACACGGTGAAACCCCATCTCTACTAAAAAATACAAAAAATTAGCCGGGTGCGGTGGCGGGCGCCTGTAGTCCCAGCTACTCAGGAGGCTGAGGCAGGAGAAAGGCGTGAACCTTGGAGGCAGAGTTTGCAGTGAGCCGAGATCGCACCACTGCACTCCAGCCTGGGTGATAGAGCAAGACTCTGTCTCCAAAAAAAAAAAAAAAATAAACCTGCCCAGGCAGATCCAGTGCCAGCGGACATGGCCAAGCACTCTCCTTCCACCAGGGAGCCTCACAGCTGCCGCAAGCTGCAGCTTGCACCAGGCCAGGCTTTCTTCGAGGCCAGCCCTGACTAAGGGAAGAGAAGGTCCCTCCCAGGGCCCTGCCTGGCACTCAGTTTCCAGGCCCCACGTTCTTTTCTTGGCCATTAGGAGCTGTTTTTTCAAGGGAGGGAGTGACAGTGACAGCTTCCCTCAAGGCATCCACAGCCGACTGATGACAAATCAGAAACACAAACCCCTCTGGCCTCGGCCAACAACCTACTCAGCTTGGGAAATAAACAATCCGACCCAACACGTCTACACGGACCCATCCAGCTGCTCCCCCAGCCTCTGGGCCCAGGAGCCTCACCCGGTACAGCTGGTCCACCTGTGCCTGGCACTGCACATAGGCTTCATAGTCTGCAAACACCTTGAACCTGGAATGGGAGAAAGGAGGCTGGGCCAGGGCAGCAGGGAGCCCTGCCCACACTGTCCCGAGGGGAGAGTCCCGGGGCAGGAGGCCAGGCACCATCCACCTGGTCCTGCCTGGAGCGAAGGGGCCCATGCAGCTGGTCAGAGCCAGGCTGCACCGGGCCCATTTGGCCACGGGGCTTCTCTGTGAGGAAGGACTTATGTCCTGGGACGGTATTTCAGGAAAACCTTATTTCAACCCAACACTCCTTCAAATAAACTGGCATTTAAAGTGCATCTTCCACAGGCCTCCTGGGCAGACAGTGGAGAGCCCATGGCATCTCCTCGGGGCAGGGGGCACTTGCTGGGCAACGGCATCTCCATTTGCCGTCTTATCTCAAGTCTGACTGGGATTTGCCTACACAGGAAATACTGACTTGCAGTTCCTGATGTGCTGAACAAAAATGCCAGATTTATGACTCTACAAATGCATTTCTGTTCACTATCGAGTCAGAAGCACACTTCACGAAATGCAGAGTTCACAATTTTAAAAGCACTTCCTTTATCACAGACCTCAGCAGGACCCAGGTTCCAGCCCAGATCCCAGCATGTGATCAGAGCCGGTGTGACTGAAGCCAATAGGTGACACAGTCATTAAAGAGCAGCAGACAAAACTAACCCAAAGGCAGCTGAAAGTGGAGGACAGGTGAATTCCCAGCCCTCGCCAGATTCAACTTTTGCCAGCAGGGTAAAGAACTGCCCTGTGCTGCAAACCTTACAAAGTCTGTAACTCTAGATAAACCATATCATGTGCTAACTTCACCGAAATAAAACACTAACTTTATAATGTTTCATCGTTGCAAGTGAAATCCATTTTCACCACTGCCTATCACTGGCACTGACACCTGTCTGGGTTCCGCAGCCCTTGTGTGCCCCCTACCCCACCCCAGGGAGTTCTGGGCCCATGCTCCCCCTACTGGCCTGCTGGGACATGGCTGCCCCTGGGACTTCCAACCACCAGATGACACCCCCTCCTGCTCAGCACATTGGTCCACAAGGCCTGGGGCCTGGACTCTGCTGCTGTCTCTCACTGCTCAGGGCCCCCTGGCATTGCCACAGGCCATCGCAAACTCCCAGCTGGAGTCTAAGGCTCTGCCCAGTAAGGTCTCATAGGCACAGTGGAGACATCCTGAAAGCATGAGTTTCGCTCTCCAAACAAGGTGCAATATCCAACCCACAAAGAGGACCCCTCCCTCCCTCCCTCCCAGCCGGCCAACCAGGGCGCAGTCAGTCCCACCTGTCATGGTGCATCAGCATGTTCACGACATCCTTGAAGCAGTCTGGCTCCTTGGGAGAAAAAAAGCCACTGCTGATCTGGTCCACAGCCTGCTTCAGCTCAGGCAGGCGGTCGTAGTACTCCCTGGCATTGTACCTGCGAGGCAATGGGCCAGGAGTCAGCAGCCAGCACCCCAGGTAGGCCACCTTGAGGGACAAGCCACATTGGTGCCTGGCACAGCCCCTGCCCCAGGATGGCCCTGGGAGCTCAAAGCCTGCATAGTCCAGGGCAGCAGCCAGAGGCCATGGGTGGCTATGAGGCCCTTGAGCAGGGACCCACTCGAGCAGAGATGTGAAGTCAGCCTAAAGCCAATCCCATCTGCTCCTTTGACTGTTAAAGAAATGTCATCACTAGCAGATCTGCTAGGATATACTGGCTCATGCCACATTCCTAGTGGAGAGGGCCACTCAGAACTTGGCTCACTGTGAAATCCTGGGCAGAGCTTTTGAAAAACAGACTGCCAGGGTGGCAGGAAGTGAAGTGGAGCACCCTTGGTGGGGACCTCAAAGATGGAAAAGGAAAAAACGCAAGCAAGACCAGACAGGACAAGGCAGAGCTAAGTGGGTGAGGGAAGGATGGGCAGACATGGACATCCCAGGACGGGGCCCGGGCGGGAGAAGCTGTGTGAGGGTGCAGAAAGGGTGCATAGGCCTGTGTGCTCGGGCCGGTAAGGCGCAGCTCTGACTTCAGATGGCATGTGCGGTTTCACCTGACTGCACCTGAGGCCTCACGGGCTCCCCAGCACTTCAAGACAATCAGGCAACACTGCCTTTTATTTGTAATTATCGCTTGGAATCAGGCCCGTGCCGGATTCCTCATGAACGTCCAGGACGTGAAGAACAAGGAAAGACTGAGAATCTGTCACAGACCAAATGGCACTGGGGAGACCTGATGGCCACACACAGCTGAGTGCCCTGATGGGATCCTGGGATGGGAAAGACAGTAACAGAGCCTGGTGGAGTCGCAATGGAGTGTGGGCTGCAGGAGGACCAGTGCTCCGAGCTCAGTGCAGCCAACGGAGGGGCGCGGGGAGAAAGTGGATGAAGCTCTGGGTACTGTCTTCAGGATCCCCGGCTGCCCCCGCTCCCTGCGGGCACATTTAAAATGTTTCCAAAATACTATTTTTAAACTATTTGTAACAGTTACAATTAGACTAGGGAACCTCAACAGCAGGCAAGCCCCAGACAGCAGAGTGCTCCGGCAGAGCGCCCCAGCAGTGGAGATCCCGCCCAGCCCCAGCCCATTTGTGTGGGGCTGCGTCCAGCCTGTGCCCCAGGGGGCGTCCCTCTAGGAGACCTTCCCCAGGGGGAAAAGGCCTTTCCTGGAGGAGGAGCCCCTGGTTTGGACCCCACGGATTCAGCCTCAGAGCCAAGACAGCAGCAGCCCAGCATCCCCGTGGCCTCGCCCAGAGCCCGGACCCCGTCCACTCCGTGCACCTGGAGAGAATGGTCACCCCTGCAGGCAGGCACACAGCCTTGGGCGGCACTGACCCTGGCACACCGTGGCCTGGCTCCAAGAGCCCAGTCCAGCCAATACCCCCAGCCCAACACCCTTCATTCTCCATCCTCACGCTGCCAGGTGCCCAGGGGCACAGGAGGGGGCTCGCACCCTTTCCGGTCCAGGGCCTCAACATCCTCCACCCGCAGGCCGAAGATGAAGAGGTTCTCGGCCCCAGCCTCCTCGGCCATCTCCACGTTGGCGCCGTCCATGGTGCCGATGGTGAGGGCCCCATTGAGCATGAACTTCATGTTGCCTGTGCCCGAGGCCTCGGTGCCTGCAGTGGAGATCTGCTGCGACAGATCAGCGGCCGGGATCACTGTGGAAGGGAGCACAGGAACAGGACCCCAATGTCCTCAGCCACAAGGCTCACTGCAGGACGAGCCGGCCCATCCACCCAGGGCTGGGGCATGGAGGGACCAATGTGGTGGCGGCGCTCCAGCCCCCGCTCCCGCTCCCGCTCCCACAGGGGACCAGGCTGGACACGGCTACCCGCCTCTGCAGGGCTCCCCTTCATGACTGGGGCAGCCTTGCGGCAGAGGGTCCAAGATGGAGGCTCCTGAGGAGCCCCCCCAGGTGGCAAAGGATCTCTGCACCAAAACCTTCCCAAAACCAGGCCTAGCCAAGGAGCCAGTCCTGGCTCGCTGACGTCACTCCCTGGATCCCTGCGACCTTGATCAGCCCCAGCAGCTCCCTGGATCCTTTCAGGAGAAATGTAGAATTGCATAGAGCCAGAGGGCTGGAGAGGCTGAGGGGCAGCGACCTCGTGGGTACCAGCAGCTGCCAGATGCCACAGCCCTGCGCTTTCTCTGTGCCTGTCCCTCGGGACTGGTCACTGCTCCCAGGCACGCTGTGACTGCACACAGTGACTATACAACCTGCTCTCCGCCCTCATCTCGGGCTGCAGCCCAGCCACAGCAACAGTGCTGGGGAGAACAGGGCCCTGAAGCCAGCACCAGACTCCAGACCAGGCGCCCAAAGGCCTGCTCTAAAGATGAGCAGGAGTCAGCTGGCCCCAAAGACACATGAGGGAAGCCTCAGGCAGCGTGGGGGAGAGAAGACGCTTCGGTCAGAGGAGCAGGGAAGGAAGAGCCACGCCACTGGAGTTCCTGGCCAAGTCGGAGGCAAGCCGGCCCGTGAGTGCCTCAAGGGACCTTGCTGGCCAGGCACCACTAAAGAGGGGGAGCGATATGGACACCAAGGCAGCAGCCAGGGCACAGGGACGGTGCCCAGGGACCCCCCCCTCCACCACTGAGCTTGCAGGGCAACAGTAGATCAGCCCTCTCACCTACACCATGGCAGCCTGGGAAGTCCAGGCGGCCTGAACTAGGGGGGGCCCTTGGCCCTCGGCGGCAGGAGGGGAGCACGAGAAGGCCAGGCTCAGATCTCTCACCATCTGGTGGGCAAATCACTTTCCTGCCCAGAAGGGCCCATAGGGGTGGGAACCGATGGGCTCCAGGGCACGTGGCAGCGCATGCCAGGGTCTCCCCAGGACTGGCCCAGGCTGCCCTCAGGAAGCACAGATGAGGCAGGTGCTGCCACCTGAGAACAGTGGTGGGCCCAAGAGCAGGCAGGCAGTGAGGAACAACGACGTGGGCGGAGGAGGGGCAGCGGGGTTGGGGGAAGCTGTGGGCCCACATCCCCACTGGCCTGGTGCATGTCCTGCCAGCAGAGGGGCCCAGGGCAGAAGGCATGGCTGATGGGCAGGAGGAAAGGGCAGGGGAGGGAGGGTACAGAGGGCAGGCCAGGCAGGCACGGCAGTGAGGGTGCCCAGATGGGGGATGATACTGCCTGTGACGTGCAAGGTGCCCCGGGACGCACTGAGTCCTCCACACTGCACAGGGAGCACTCCCCAAAGCCATTCCCTGCTCGCCTGCAGCCCGGCTGGTGAGGCCTGGGTGTCCAGGCAGAGCTGAACCGGCTGAGGACGAAAGGCCTGGGGGCCAGTACAGTGCCCGTTCCTGGGCAGGGGTGAGTTTTCTGTCTGACACAGGCTTCCAGAGTTACCTTTCTCAGCCAAGGACACGCGGTAGTTCTCCAGGAAGATCACTTTCAACCTGTCACCCACAACTGGGTCATGATTGACGACGTCACCAATGGACGTGACCAACTTGATGATCAGCTTGGCCATGTGGTAACCGGGCGCTGCCTGGAGAGGGGTGAAGGTGAAGGTTTTTAGCATCAATGCGTTGTTCGGGCCCTCGGAGGCACTCCTGGTTCCTGGGGTCTGTAGGAGGGTGAGGCCAGAGCCACAGGAGCCTGCCGCCGGGAGAGTCAGTAGAGGAGCTGGGGAGGCCACGCTGGCCCCAAGGCCTCAGCCTCTGCTGAGCGCTCAGACCACATCCAGAAACGTGTCTGCCTCAAGTCTGGTTTTCTGGTTGTTGTCAGGTTTTCAGAAATCACAACGTAAAAGAGACCAGGATTTCTAGAGCTGCCGACTGTCAGGAAACAGAGAACTGTCCCTAGGGACATACTGGGACACGCTAGAGGGACACATTCGGAAAGAGCCAGGCTACGGCGGACAGACAACCCGATGTCTGTAACAGACAGACCGTGGGGGAAACCTACAGAGAACCGAGACACCACGGCAAGTCCAAGGTGAGAACTCACTGGGCCCTCCCTCAGACCAACTTTTAGAAATATCTGTCACTTCACAAAGTCGACTGGGCCAGGGACCCATGAGGTATCCGAGTGAACATTTCACGACACGGAGGACTCCTGTCCAATGCTTTAGGTGTGACGGATGGTGGGTGCTACTGTGTGGTGATGTTTCAGTCTAGCCCCATTGTGGTTCTGGTGGAAAACAGCATTTTATGAAGAGGAATGCTGACGTACGTAAGACTGAAGAGCTAGAGTGTCTGCCGTTTACTGGGAAATGCTTCAGCTAGTCTGAGGGATAGGTTTACGGTTTTGCTACAGTTCTTCCTGCTTTTCTCTAGGTTCAGATGTTTCTTTTTTTTTTTTTTTTTTTTTTTTTTTTGTGCTGAGACAGGGTCTGGCTCTGTTGTCCAGGCTGGAGTGCAGCAGTGCAATCACAGCTCACTGTAGCCTCAATCACCCAGGACAATCGATCCTCCTACCTCATCCTCCCAAGTAACTGGGACTACAGACATGCACCACCACACCCAGCTAATTTTTGCATTTTTTTGTAGAGATGGGGTTTCACCACATTGCCCAGGCTGGTCTGGAACTCCTGGGCTCATGCAATCCACCCACCTCGGCTCCCAAAGTGCTGGGATTACAGGCATGAGACACCGTGCCCGGCCTAAAATTTTCACAATAACATTTAAAACTTTTTCAAACTCCGTATCTCTATAGACTTCACATACTGAAATACTGACAAATAAAATGATGCAATTCCAAAATTTGCTTCAAAAACAGCAGGTGACAGGAGTGGACAGAGACCAAATGGGGTGTGCCAGGAGGTGGTGGAGCCCTGAGGAGTGCCCGCCCCTCTGACCAGCTTCCCACTCGCTGAAGGCAGGGAGAGGGTATCCTTCAGGCTGCACACAGGCCCCAGCACCCCCAGGCCCCAGCCTTGCCATGAAGAGCTGGGGTGCCTCACACAGTCCAGACTCACTTAGGGCCACTGCTCCAGCAGGACCCTCCTAAGGACGCTGCACCCCACGGCAGCCCCACAGTTCTGGATAAAGACCAAGCTACTAGAGAAACACGACAGGAGGTGGGGACACTGGCCGCAGACGGCTGATGAGTATGACGATGTGACCTGGGACTCGATGACAGCACATCTAGGACTCTGAAAGTATGTGTCATAGTAAATAAAGTGAACTGAAAGCAGGCAATGCTCAGGGCATGTGCAGGTGATGAAGCAGCCACAGCGCCCTGTGCCTACTGGGCACCATGCAATCCTATGGGCACAAAGAGAAAGGACACTGCCCCCTCTGAGGTGGGCACCAGCAAGCCCACTGGGGACTGGCCCTCTAGGCTGGGGACCCCCTCCGATGAGCTGGGCAGGGAGGCTTCCATCCCATTCTGACCCTCTACAGGGTCCCCACCCGACAGGCACACCAGTAGGGCCGGTGACCGCTGGGCACCCGGCTCCTCAGTATGGATGTGGCACCACGAGAAGCATGCAGGCTGCCCACCCACCGTCCCTGGACCAAACCCCACAGAGAGGACTACAGAGGACGTCACTCACCTTGCCCCCAATCATAACAGTCCTGGGCACAAAGGCCTTGGCCGGGTCTCTCTTGATTCCTGCAGGACACACAGAAGAGACTCACACAAGGCACCGGGAGCCGGACAAGCCTCTGCTGGGGCCCAGCAACATCAGAGGGCGACCCTGAGGCAGGACAGGCAGGCTCCACCGTGAGTGTGCTTCAAGCCCCAGTGACACGGGCGGCAGCGGCACAGGGCCACTGGCCACCCACTGCCCACCCACCAGGAACCTGCCACTTACAAGGGGGCGAGGCCACCCTGAGGTCTGCACTTAGGTTCCCAGCTGGTGAGGAAGGCCAGCCAGGACCAGTGACGAACCCAGCAGCTGACCCGAGCAAAGATGCTGTTTGTTCCCAGGGGCTCAGAGGAAACGCTGCACCTCAGTTTCCAGAAAAGCCCAATACAGGAGCTTCCTTGGGTTTGGTCACCAGTGTTCGAGGCCCCTGTACATGAAGGGCACACTTGTGGGTTTTGTCTGGTTTTGTTTCTTGAGACAGTGGCGCACTCTGTCGCCCAGGCTGGAGTCTCTACCTTCCAGGCTCAAGCAATCCTCCCACCTCAGCCTCCTGAGTAGCTGGGATCCTAGGCACATGCCACTGTGCCCAGCTAATTTTTTCACTTTTTATAGAGTTGAGGGTCTCTCTATATCGCCCAGGCTGGTTTCAAACTCCCAGGCTCAAGCAATCCTTCCACCTCGGTCTCCCAAAGTGCAGGGATTATAGGCGTGAGCTACCGCGCCTCACGCTCTACCACTCTTGTGTTTTTTTTTGTTGTTTTTGTTTTTAAGAGTCAAGGTTTAGCTCTGCCACCCAGGCTGGAGTACAGTGGTGTAATCGGGGTTGAAAGCAGCCACAAACACCTGGGCTCGAGTGATCCTCCCCTCCTCAGCCTCCCAAGTAGATGGGACTACAGGCACCAACAGGTTGCCACATGCAGCTAATTTTTTCACTTTTAGTACAGATGGGGTCTCGCTTTTTTGCCCAGACCGGTCTCAAACTCCTGGCATCAAACAGTCGTGAGGCCTCAGCCTTCCAAATCCTTGGGATTACAGGGGTGAGCCACCACACTGACCTTAAATTGTGTTTTAAACACATTGTTTGGATGACACAAAGAAAAAGTGGCAACCTCAGCCTTGTGGCTGTGGTGCCATCAGCCTGCAGGGGCGCTGGGTGAGACCTTGTGTCTCCCTTCTGCCTTGCTGGGACAGGGGGTGAGGGCCCCTGAAGTTCTTCACAGAGAGGATGGAGGGTCAAGCCATGACGGCCAGCTCACTGCCAGCCCAGCAAACAGGCTGTCCTTGCCAGGTCATGGGTTTGCAGATTTCACAGGAGGTTCCTACAAAAAGGGGATGAGCGGCCACCCTGGACAGGTGTTCACCAGCGAGCCGGGCCTGGGGGGGGCAGCAGGGAGTCAGGCCGATGTGTACCCCCTGGCCCCAGGCTCCAGGAGGAACACAGCTGCCCCTTAGTGCTGGATCTTGTCACTTCTGGAAATCAGCAGAGAACAGGAAAAATGAAACACACAGATGATGATTTCAGCACAACTAGGAAAGAAGGCAACCATGCAAACTCCAGGCCACAGTGGGCAGGGGACAGGGTCCTGGGAATCCTAACCTCTGGGGAGGGGCACTCTGGGCAGAGGTCCGGTCCTGGGGGCCACCAAGGAGCCCCCAGGGGACAGCAGGCTCAGGCAAGTGCCTCTCCCACAAGGGCATCCTCACAAGGCAGGTCCTGGCATCCAGGGGAGCCTCCTGCCCAGGCGAGACCTGGAGAAACAGCGGAGACGCAGCCACAGGGAGGTGCCACAGACTGGGGAAGCACGGCCTTGGGCCAGCAGAGGAGCTGCCTTGGAGGGCTGAGAAGCCTATTCCGAATAGCCCCAGGCGATCCAGCTCACCCTAACGTAGCAGTGGAAGTCAGCACCCAGCCCTGCTACAGGCCACAGGAGGGGAGTGAACCCCTTCGCGAATCACATACCTTTGGTGACCACCAACTTGGAAAGACATGGAGCCGAATGCAAGGCCTCAGGGAGGGAGGCAGAGAGCACAGGAGAGGAGCAGAGGGCATGGGAGGAAAGTGCAGCCGGGAGACGCTCCAGAGAGCAGTGCCACCCCAAGGACAAGGACAAGCCAAGTCCTGAGAGAAGTAGGTACCAAGGAGGCAGGCTAGAGAAAGCCACCTCACGCCACACTGCAGCCCAGAAGCAAAAAACCAAACAGAACCAAACACACGTTTCAGACAACTTCCCTGAAGTCCAGCAACATGTTCAACAAGCACCCTGAGTACTGACGAAAATGCCGCGTTAACAGCCAACACCAAGACACGGCAATGACAGTGAGTCACTCATGAGATCGAGAACTCAGACCTCACCAGACTTCTGCACACACATCCACCCTCCAGACAGTGCCCAGCAGGGCCCCAAAAGGCACTGGGGGAAGGAAGTGGAGTCAAGACTGGCATCTTCAGCCAAACCAACCTTCGTGGTGAAGGGTCCAGGCTATTTTGAACAAGCAAGAATTCGGGAAGGTTGTTCCCATGAGCCAGTCATGAACTAGGCACAAAGCGCCGGCAGGGCTGGGCAGCACTCTGCAGGAGGACCGTGAGGAGCAGTGAACATACTCACCTGCAGACTCAAACTGACAGAGCTAGGGACAGGAGGAAGGGCAGAGTACTGATGCTGTGAGCTCTGACAGTGGGGCAAGGAGATGCATGTCCACACGTACATGCACACACACAAGCACACGTGTTTACACGCATGCACACACATACATTTATGCACGCACACACAGACATGGGGCAAGGGGGAAGACCAGTGGGAACGAGCACCAGCCTGTTGGCTGCCTCCTGTGAACGGCTGGAAATCACAGCGGGTTGTTCAAAGCGAACGAAACAAGCAAGCGGAAGCAGAGCGTCTGGGAAGCCTGACAGCCAACACTAAACGATGACGCAACAACTGACTGTGGGGGCAGCGGAGTGGGAGGAAGGGAGGGGTGACCTGCAACTCTCACTGTCGCTCACAAATGGGACCAAGCGCTGTGCAAGCGGAGGACTCCTGGTCACCACCAGGGACACACAGAGCGTCACAACTGCAGGAGGAAAGCGGGGCAAAGAAAGGTGATGCAAAGTTCCCATGCACCACCTCGGAGCCAGGAAGCCACAGCCCTGGGAAGCATCATCTCCCGTGGTGCCCACACAGCAGAGGGGTCCTCAGTGGGGGTGGCCTCCAGCCTCTGTCCTACTGCGTGTGTCTCAAACGCACCCAGATCCTCCACCCCATCGAGGCTTACTCATTGGGAATAGTAAGATGTATTTCCAAGAGGAGCTTTGTATCGGAAAGGAGGATGTGTGGTTCCTTTGGTTTTTAAAATACCTACTTTATTAAATTACAAAACTTTAGAAACCTAGTTTTTCCTTCAGGTTTTATTATCTAGTAAACCTAGCAAATAGTCACATTGACTTCTGGAGGTCTCTGATTCATGTTTGTTCTCATAATTAAATGTCCTCAGACAATATAAGATACATATGTAAATTTAACACATACTATCTTAATTTTTATAAGTATGCTTTAAATGCCTCTAATAAGCATAATCTTTCTAAATAAGATTAGTCTCACAGAGATAATAACTAAATTTAAAATAAAAACTGAAGGCCCGGTACAGTGGCTCATGCCTATAACCCCAGCCCTTTGGGAGGCAGAAGTGGGTAGATCACTTGAAGCCAGGAGTTCGAGACCAGCCTTGGCAACACAGTGAAACCCTGTCTCTACAAAAAACACAAGGGCACAGTGGCGTGCGCCTGTAGTCCCAGCCACTTGGGAGACTGAGGTGGGAGGATTTCCTGGGCCCTGGGAGGTCGAGGCTGCAGTGAGCCGTGATGGTGCCACTGCACTCCAGCCTAGGCCTTTCGGGTGTTTAACTGTTCACCTGCTCACGTGAGGCCTGGCATGGGGCACACAGAAAAACGTGGCTTTTGCTTAAAATAAATGTGCCACATCACACATGCCCACGCCTACACACGCACAGCCCCCACCATGACAAAGGCCCAGGGTCTGCGCACAGCTGGCGGGCAAGGGTAAGCCTTGGGCCCCGCAGTGCCATCATGCAGGTGATGCCGGCACTCACGGTTGTACAGGGTGATGACATGCAGGCAGTTGAGCAGTTGCCGCTTGTACTCGTGGATCCTCTTCACGTGCACATCGAACATGGAGGAGGGGTTGATCTTTACCTTGTACTCCTTCTCCAGGAAGGCTGAGAACTTAAGCTTGTTTTCCTGGGAGAGTGAGGGGGAAGGATGGCTGGAGACTTCACCAGGACTCCACCCACTGACCCTGTGGCTTCCTGCTTCGAGTGCCCTGTGAGGAGCGCCGCAGGGAAAGGGCAGGGGTATACAGGATGGAGCTCAGGGGCAGAGATGGCACCAGGGGTCTTCTCATGGGACAAGGGGAGAGAGCGATGCTGAAGGTGGGTCTGTACCAGGAATAGGGGATAAGTGAGGAGCCGGCCCCGGAGCACGCCTGGAGCCAAGTAGAATACACTGCAGAGCCAGGCGTGCAGGCAGGGGAGCAGCGTGGGAGCGGGACAGCTGAAAGGACTACAAGAACTAGTTCTGGCCTCTAGGAGGAGGCCAAGCTCGACGGGCTATGTAGAATGGCCTCCAGCCTGCTGAGGTTTGAAGGCTGCCGTCACTGGCCCCGGACTAGCCGAGGGGCTGCTGCCGGTGCAGACAGTTCGTGTACCTGCACAGCTCTCCAGGGGCAAAGAGGGCATCACGCTGGAATTGGCTTCTAGAGGCTTCCATACAGAACTGATCCGTGGTGGAGGGTTGAGGAACAGGCAGCGCTGGCCTGGGGTCTGTACTCAGCTATCTGCCACGTGACCTGTCCTCCTCGGGGCCCTCATCTGTCATCTGAAAGGCTGAGTGGGGCAGAGAGACCTCAGGGGACCCTAACAGCCTCACCCTCAGTCCTGTTCCGAGTCCCCACTAAAGCCCCAGTGGGTACCCCAGGACCTGTGTTGGGCTTGCAGGAGGGCTTGGGGCTGGGGCGTACCTGCCTGGCTGTGGGAGGGCTGGGGCCAGGGCGTACCTGCCTGGCTGTAGGAGGGTTGGGGCCAGGGCGGACCTGCCTGGTTGTAGGAGGGCTGGGGCCAGGGCATACCTGCCTGGCTGTGGGAGGGCTGGGGCCGGGGCTCGGGCCAGGGCCAGGGCCATGCCTACCTGTTTGACCTTGGCCACGTCCCTGATGAATGCCTCGTCATTGACCAGTGGCAGCAGCTTCTTCAGCTGGCTCAGGTCAGTCAGAAACTCCTCCCCAATTTTCTGGAGAATGTAAAGGTTCCGCTCACTATGGGCCCTAGCCACTTGCCCTCCTCCCGTTGTCGCCCATGCCCCTGCTTTCCCCTGGGATCTGCTCGTCCAGCCTCTCCACGCATCTCACCTCTCAGGCTACAGGGTCACCCCGGCAGCCCCTCCCACCTCTTCTGATCTTCTGAGAGGGCTCTGCAATGTGGCCCAGTCCCACCAATTCAAATGCCCACAACAAACACACAAGCCTCCCTCAGCCACCGTTCCTAGGGTTCTGACGTTGAACATCCCATCACCACCCAAACCCCAAAGCCATCCTCCGGCTGCCCTCCACCAGCACCTTCCCTGCCTCCACAATGCAGCAGGCAGCCCCCTCAAAGCCAGCACCTCACCCAGGTGCTGCCCGCAAACACTCGGCCACCTCTCCTCACTCTGCCCAGGCCCGCCTCAGACTGCACGGGAGCCACGCTGCCTTCCAGGTCCCAGGGGCCCGTCCCCCAGCACAGGACATTGGACCCGTTTGCCCCAGAGCACTGATCCCTCCCTCTTCATTCCCTCTTCAGACCTCAGCTTTCCTGGGAAGCCTTCCCTGACCATAGCCCCAGGTGAGTGGTCCCACCCTCCCAGCCGCTGGTCCTGGCCTGTAGCACAGGGCCTGACACCTCAGCGCTCGTTTCCCTCAGGATCCTGCATAGGAGCCAACATACAAACAGGAAATAGGCGCCCAGCCTGGCAGACTCTCCTGGCAGTCAGCTGCCTCTTGCCTCTTTTGCAATGGCCCCGTGGCTGCTCTGAGCCACACCCCAGCCCTCTCTAAAGCTCAGCTTCTGAACTCGCACACAGGACCCGCCAGGCCCCACTGGGTGACTGCCCAGCTCAGCGCCCATGTTCAGGGGCTCAGCTCTCATGTCTGGAAGCCTACAGGTCAACACGTGAGGGACAGACTCCTGCCTACTCAGCAACCACTCAGCAGGGGCTGATGACACGGCCAGTGGTTCTCAGCCCAGGCATACCCAAAGGCACAGGCAGGGCCTGGCGCTCACCTCCACGATGGTATCGGCCAGCCCCGGGTTGCACAGCAGCAGCCACCGGCGGGGGGTGATACCGTTGGTCTTATTCTGGAACTTCTCTGGCTCCAGTTCATAAAAATCCTTAAAGCTGCAAACACAGAGAACAGGGAACTGTCACAAATGCTGTGCCTTGAACCAGGTGAGCAAGAGACCTTAAGGCCCTTTTAAGGAGGTCCCAGGATCCCTCAAGCTCAGTGTTTCTGTTCTGTTTTCTGAGAACAGTGACCGCGGCCGCTGTAGGCTCTGGGAGCCATACAAAGGCAGCGCCTGCGCCCCAGGGCCTCTGTGGCTGGCTGTGTGGTTTGCCCAACTACACCCTCGCGGGCATCAGAGCCTGGCCATTCTCCGGAGCGGTCCATGCGGAAACAGGTGTCCAAGTCATGACAGCCGAGACCGCAGGACTGTAGGGCTTGAGAAGCTGTGGTCGGTTTCCTTATCGCTACTGGGGAGGGGCCCAACACAGAAGCTTGCTGTGGGTGCCATGCACAGAGCCTGCAGCCCAGCCCCGGGCACAGAAGCCCCCGCTCCTGCCCGGTTTTGCCTGCCCAGCACGCACAGTAGACGCCCAGCACATGCTAGGTGAAAGAGTGGGAGTGATTCCTAGATCACGCCCCACCTAAGAGGGGCAAGAACGAGATCTGACCTAAGAATCCCTCCTTCAAGCCCTGTCTAAGCCCCGCCAGCGGCAGGAGGACCAGTGGTGTAGAGCCTCCGACTGGACCCCCAGGAAGGCAGGGGCGCGGGAGAGCAACAGGAGACAAAGCCGTCTCCCCATTGCCCACAGGGCCAGAGGCCCCATGTGCTGGTCGGTGAATGCACAAGGCATGACCCTGACAGGGTGTTCTGGGCAGCTCTGTCATTGCCATCGAGGCAGGGGCCTAGTGGCATGGGGTGTGTGCCGTACAGCTGGGTCCATGTGTTCGGTGGCTGGTCCTAGGTGCAGGCCTCGGTGTCAGACACAGCTGGCCTCCCTCGGGCAAGCGCCCCACTCACACCGACTGTTTCACAATCTCCGAGTGGATCCTCGCCACACCGTTGACAGCGTGGGACCCAATCACACACAGGTGGGCCATGTTGATCCGCTTGCAGTCCCCCTCCTCGATCACAGACATCCTGCGCAGGCGGTCCACATCTCCGGGAAATAGCGCGGCCACGTGCTGGTGCCAAAACACAGAGGCAGGTAGGTGGGCACGGGAGGCCCCACGGAGACCCAGCACTCCCCATGACCAGGGGACAGTCCATGACCACCCACAGGAAGCTCTGCTGCCTCCAGGGAAGTCCTGGGGCTGCGACAGCCGGACCTCACTCAAGTGCTCCCAGCGCCAGCAGCCACTTCAGAGGCATCTCACAAGGGCCCGGGGCCAGCTCCAGGAGGAGGCCCTCGCTCACTCCACTCCCCAGCCCAGGAAAGGGCCCAGCCCAGCCCAGGGACCCACAGGGCTACTGTGTCTGAGGAAGATGGGTCTGAGGGAGAGAACATGCAATTTAATTTACAAAGAGGAACCTGGGACAGCTGTGGCTCAGGCGTGGGGATCAGCCAACAGCTCTGCCAAGGGACAGCCCCCAGCCCCAAGCATCTTCTGCTAAATGGAGGGTGCCTCGTTCAAGGAGTAAAGCACCTCCTCGCCTAGGCCAGGTGGGGGGCCGTTGGCATGGGTGTAACCGCCACCCTACACGGCCACCTGGGCCCACACTCACGTCCAGGTGCCGCTGGTTGATGGCATAGATGATTTCCAGGTGCCGCGGCAGCAGCTTCTCAAACATGGACACGGGCCAGCGCTCCAAGGCCTCAGGCAGCACGGTGTGGTTGGTGTATGCACAGGTCTTCTTCGTGATTTCCCAGGCCTAGGCCATTCGAGAATGTTCCCATGTGTTTGTTTAGAAACAAGCAGCTCTCTGGCCAGCTGCCTAGGCGGGTTGAGCATCCAGGATCCCAGGCAGATGCTGGGTACCCCAGGAAGGGCCACCCTCCCCTCTGCTCTCCAGGGTGGATCTGGAGCCCTCTGAAAGCCTGACACGCAGCCCAGAGCCCTCAATCTGCTGATGCAACCCATCGAAGTGTGACGTTATGGTCCAGTGCGTGACACACACACAAGTAAGACACACTCGCCTGCTACCTGGGGTCACCTTCACACTCTCCCATCACTGGTAAATGGACGCACTGCTGAGCAGTTTTCTATTTATTTCCACTACAGTAGCCGGACACCCACAGTGGGGAGGACACTGGTTACTACATGGACCTGCCCTGTGCTGGCCAGAACTGGGGTACCCGCAACAGGCACAGCCTCACCTGAAGTGCACACACACCAAGGCCAGAGAGGGGCTTGGGTTTCTACAAAACGGAGTTAAAAAAATTTGTTCTATGGTTTCTTTTTTGTTTTTCTGGGTGTGTGCTGCCACACCTGGCTATCTTTTGTTTTTAGAGGTAGGGGTCTTGCTGTATTGCCCAGGCTCTAACTTCTGGCCTCGAGTGACCCTCCTGCCTCAGCTTCCCAAAGCACTAGGATTATGGGTGTGAGTCACCATACTGTCCAGTTTCATGGTTCTACATGTCGACTGGATAACGGTTAGATTAAGAAAATCTCACCACACAAATGTATTAAAGTCCAAAATATGCTGAGTCGTGAGAGCAGGTGCCATGAACAGAGCACAGAGCTCTAAACAATGCTTTGGGGAGCCGTCACCAAACTTCAAGATGAGAATGCACCAACGGGAAACCCTGAGAAGTGTCAGAGCCCTATCCTTATCCTCTCCCCCGTGCCCTGTCCCCCGCACCCTGTCCCCCACACTCTGGCCCCCCGCACCCTGGCCCACAGAACCTCTGTCTCCTGGAACCAGACCCCTCCCACAGCTCGCATCTCTCCCAGGCATGATGACCACACAGCTCTCCCTAGGCCAGGGGAGAGGCCCCCCAGCTCAGCTCCTCGTAGCCCTGGTCTGCATGGGCTGCAGGCTCTGGGGAGGTGCCGCCCTTCTCCTCCACGCGCACCTTGTCCCAGTCCACCTTCTCCACGTCCACCAGGATCCGCATGAGCTCGGGGATGGAAAGGGCAGGGTGGGTGTCATTCAGCTGGATGGCCACCTGCAGGTCGCACAAGGGGTGCCATTCAGTCATCTCATCCCTTGTGGGCACCCACGGTTGTTGGCATATGAAGCTCCCCGAGTGAAGGAGCCAGCCCAGCCCTGAGGAGCCTGGAGAACAGGGAGGGGTTCTGGGAAGGGAGCAGGGAGGACAGCCGGGCTCACACTGTGGCAGGTGTGTGCTGTGTCCGACGTGCCTGCTGGTGAGTGCCCCACAGCAGTGTGCTCTGCTGCTAGTGTGTGCTGCAGCCGGAGGGGAGGAGCCGTGGCCACCGGGGCTGGGGGCTCTCTCACTGGAGCTATGAGGGCTTTGTTTGAAATAACTGCACTTAGCTCCACCAAGCACATCTGACTTTGCACAGGAGCCTTTCACCATGTCCCCTGCTGACTTGAGTCCTAACAAGGCTGGTGGCCCTTGTTCTGCGAGGGAGGGCCCAGGTGGGATCCTGGCCCAGGATTACGACACCCCAATACAAGGGGCATGTGCCATCCCACTCTAGCTCCTTTTGGGACAGACACGAGAAAGCAACCTCAAGAGCCTGAAGGCGCCCAGCCCCTGGCACTGAGATCCCTCCCAGGGCCACCACGCACCTTGTCTGGGAATGTCTCGAAACACGTTCTCACAGGGTCCCGGCAGCCGAACTTGGACGACTTGAAGCGGCGGATGATGTCCTGGAGCGTGGCGGCCACCACGAAGTACTCCTGCTTCAGCCGCAGCTCCTTCCCCTCGAAGAACTGCACACAGCAGAGCAAGCTGGAGGGTGCAGGCTAGGGGCGCATGCCCCATGACCCAGTCCCAGGGCCATTCTCCTCCCCCAGGAAGCCCAGGTCAGTGACCTGGCTCAAGGGCGCAGGCAGAAGGCCGAGAGGAGCCCAGCTGCCTGACACTGGGGCCTGCCTGTGTGCCCTCAGGTCACTAAGGAGGGTCACCCTGCCTTGGGACAGACCCCGGGACACAGTGTCCATCTGTCAGGAGAAGTACAGTGCCAGCGCTACTCAGGAGCTGCACTGTCCAAGCACAGGCCTTCTGGAACATTCTGCACCTGGGGCTTGGGGTCTGCCAACAGTCTCATGGGGACAGGAGAGTATACTCTTTGATGAGCCTTCCGGCACCCAGGCCTTTGCTCTTGTGTGCACGGGTTACTTTCATAAAATAAAAAGCTAACTTTTTATTGCCCACTAGGGCATATTCTAAGGACTTGTCAGGCAACAACAAAAAGAAAGCCACTGGGCACTAAATGTAGGTGGCAGTGGGGAACATGGCTGCGACACCATCACCTAGCATGGGAAGGGCACGTGCCAAGTACCTTTCGAATGTCCCCAGGCATCAATGCCAGGTAGGCGCTACCGTTCCCCGGAGAGACAGATCACCTACTTGGGGAACTGGCACTGCGGGCTAGAACAGCAGACAGGCTGGAGGGCTGACAGGCTCCAGCTGGCCCCAGGGAGCGGCTGGCTGTGTGTTTATGAGGGGAATGGATAAGAGGGGAAGGTGGCAGAGAGTGTCCTCAGAGAGACCACCCCAGAGCTGCCAAGAGGCACGCGAGGACCCGCTTGGGCTTTATGGAGGACAGTGCCCCCCTCTCCTCCCCAAGGGCATTGTGTGTGCACCTGAGGCGGGAGGGCCACCAGGTGGCTGCTTGCCAAGGCCAACAAGAGGCCCCACCGGGGAGCCCAGCCAGTCAGCCCACCTCACTAAGCCGGAAAGCGACGCAGTCTGAGCAGGCCAGCTACTCACGTTATCGTTTGGATACAGGACCCTGGAGATGTTCTCGGCCAAGTTCCGGTCCAGGACCGCCTCGATGTAGTCTCCCACGTTGACTAAGAAGAAACGGAGTGGGGTCAGCACACACGTGCCTCCTGGCACCAGCACCGCAACCGCTCAGGGGCCTACTTGCAAAAGCCAATGAAACTCGCTCGAGCACAGGACTCCCCTAGCCGCTGCATTACTTCACCTCACCCCCACCCCTGGAGGTACACGTGATCCCCTCCTGCAGTTCCCCTACGCACCGCATACAACTCCATCCCCCTCACGCCTCCCCAGGGGCACATGATCTGCACAAGCAGACCCTGGGTGCCCAGGGCCCAGGTGTCTCGGTCGCTCTGCCTGTAGGCCCTTCCCAGGCAGGTCCCACACACAGGTAAGCTGCACCAGCCTCGTTTTCACCAGGATGCAGGTTCACCCTAGAGGAGGGCCGTGCAGCCTCCAGGACAGGGAGCCGCAGGGCGTGGTAAAGGCTGTGGGCGAGGGTGTCCGGGACCAGCCACCCACATGGACACAGGGGCGCCGGGAACCACGGAACGTACAGTCCTGCAGCTTGAAGTCGTTGGGAGCCTTGGCGGACCACAGCCGCATGGTGTTGACGGTATTGTTCTTGTAGCCGGGCACCGGGGTGTCATAGGGCATGGCCAGCACCACCTGGCCACAAAACAGGTTGCTCAGGACGGAGTGGCGAGGGCCCCCACCGGCCCCTGAGCCTCTCCCCGCCCCAGCCTCTTCCTGGGCACCTGGCACCCTGCTGGCCCCCCACGGTCTCCCCCTTCTGCCCAAACACATCCACCCAGCCCATGCTCAGCACCACAGTCCCCGTCCGCGCCCGCCCCTGTGGTGCCACCTTGTCATCCTGAGAGGACCACCCGCCCCACCACCCTCCCCAGACCAGACCTGTCTTCTCACTTCACCTTCCTCAGGAATGGCTTCGAACGAAGAATCATCCCCATCCCGACTTCCTGAGGTGCCGCAGCACCAACCCCCACCTCCCTCCTTACCCTCCGCCCTCCACGCCTCCCCTCCTCACTCAACTCTGCTCTAGGAACTCCAATACACAGAGGCTCGCCCTGGAGATGACCTCTCTCAGCTCCACCTGCAGGAAGGTTGCTCCTGCAGCTGCCTTCCCCCTAGCACAAGCCCAGCCACGCTCCCTCCACCCCAGCCTGGCTCCCCCTCTCCTTGACAAGCCCCCAGGTTCCCTTGTATCCAGAGACATCAGCTCCACTCCCACCAAGGGCAGGAGGAGGCTCACAAAGCTGAGGCTGGCCTGTGGTCCCAGCTTCCCGGCAGGCGCACTCAGGGATGCTTGGGTTCATCCCGGCACACACGTGCCTGTGGCACCGCCAGTCAGCTCAGCCAGCCACACAGGGGGCGCACCAGGGCCACCAAGACCAAAACCCCAGGATCCCTTTCCCTTCCTCTCTCCTGTCAACCCTTGCCCCCGCCCCACAAGGCGACATCCAAGTGAGCGACAAGTCCCCGGCAAGGCATTCCAGCCCCTTCCATCCTGGCCAGCCCTCGGGGCTCAGCCCATCTTCACAGCCTGCCTGCAATGTCCCGGTTCTCCAGCATCCCCACTCACACTGACACACTCATCCACGAACACATCTACAGTGCCGGTCCCCTGCCCTGCGTTTGCAAGTTAAATACAACTTTTTATGGCATTTTCAGCCTCCACGGCATGGCCCCAGCCACTCTAAGCCCATGTATTTGATTTAAAACTGTGTCCTACAAAGTTAGGACAACTCCCTCTGCACACCAGTGACCACCCAGCCTCCAGGCTCTCCTGTTATCACCCCTCCTTCTCCATCACAGGTGGCCAAATTCACTGATGCCCCAACGTTCTCCTGCAGCCTCTCCTGCCGGCCCCTGCCCTGCCCCAGTCACCCCGGCTCCCAGCTGCCCTGAGCCTGGACTGGGTGCTCCCTCACGTGGACTCTGCGTGCCTGGCACCCCTCGCTGCTGAGTACTCTAGGCTCTTGCCCTGGTCCCCCATCAGCACCCTGCTGGGCAGGAGGGCCTGGCCCCATCCCCAGATGTTGCCCAGACCTCACACATACTCCAGGGGCTCTGACAGCTGACGCTTTGAGAGCCACGGGCCACGTATGGCACCAGGAGGCCAAGCGAGCTTGTCGCATGCTCCACAGATAGTGGGAGCTGTTTTCACCCACGCGGCGGTCCGTGCCCCCATCCCATCAGAACACCCTCCTGCCTGCTCTTAAGCAGCAGGGTTCTCGTGAGCATCTGGCTGTGAGTGGACCCTGCCCAGCCCCAACACACAGCTCCTGCCCAGCGGGGCTTCCCCGCAGAGTCTCGCGCTGTGCTCAGCGCCTCCACTGTTTGGGAAGCTCCCATCAAAGCGTAAGAGACTGGGGAGATGAGGAGAATAAACCTCCCCCGGCTTTTACCTTAAGTCCTCCAGGGAGGCAGCAAGTCCCCCAAGACAGAAGAAGTCGAGATGACTAGGAATGAGCTGCAGCAGCCCCCTCACCCGGTCCCAGCCTTGCCGTGGACATTTCAGCCCAGGTACCTGTGTGTCCAGCCACTTCACGCCGTCGGGGGTGTGCTCCACGCGCCCGTAGAAGTGCACAGGAAGCATATACTCGGGCCGCGCTTTCTCCCAGGGGTTGCCGTAGCGCAGCCAGTCATCAGCCTCCTCTACCTGGAACGAGGAGAGCTGTGAGGGCACCCTCAGCGCAGATGTCCCGGGCCGCCGCCCTGTCCTGGACCCAGCAGACCGTGTGTCCAAGATCACACAGCACCTGGCACTTAAACTTACCTACAGCCACTTACCACGTCGGGATTCCCACTTCTGGCCAAGCCCACGTGGGTAAAATGAACACGGTGGACGCTAAAGTAACAAACTCAAAATTCAGAAACATGCACCCCAAAGAAAGACACTAAGAACCACTGACTGACACATGCTCCGACCCGGATGGAGCTTGAAAAACCTACACTCAGTGACAGAGGCCAGACAAAAACACCACGCGTCGCATGCGGCTATTTACAGGAAATGTTCAGAATGGGCACCTGCACAGAGAAGCAGGCGAGAGGCTGTCAGGGGCTGGGTATGACGGCAAATTGGTGCAGGCCTTCTTTCTGGGGTGATGAAAATGTTCTCAAGATAGACAGTGGTGATGGTTACCTAACTCTGAATATACTGAAATCGCCTCTATTTCAATAAAGCTGTTACAGAACAATCACTAGAAGACACTGCTTTGACGGAGACACACTGGCCAGGCGGAGGCTCACGCCGACAGTTCCCAGCACTCTGGGAAGCCAAGGTGGAAGGATCGCTTGAGCCCACAAGGTCGAAGATGCAGTGAGCTATGACTGTACCACTGCACTTCAGCCTGGGCGACAGGGCAGGACCCTAACTCTAAAAAAAATGATTAAATTAAATTTTAAAAAGAAAGAAAGTGACGCTGCAAATCCACAAGTGCTGGGCCAAGCTGGCAGCTGGCAGTGAGGGTGCCCTGGATGCAGCCAGGAACACAAGCTGTTCCGGGAGGGCTTATTCCCAAAATCTGTGCCCAGTGGCACCCGAGACCAGTGAAGACACAAAACCAATTCCCACACTAAAAGCGGCCCTGCAGACTCGAGCCACCCTTGTGCAGAAGCACTAGGGGCTGCTTTACCACCAGGTGACACAGTAACTCTGGCTGGTACAGCAGCAAGGGTGGGTTCTGAAATCTAAATTCCTAACACTGAAGTGAGATCAAGCCTCTTCTCTTGAGAACGAACAAGCAGCCCTAGTATGCTACACTGAGGGATTTCCTCTTAATGGTTCCTACACAGACATAAAGAGTCACGAGCAAGACTGTCTGGGCTGTGCTGTTCGGGAGGCACCTCCCCATGGTACTCCCAGCAAGACCTTTCTGGTGGCATCTCCTTGTCCGCCGTGAGATTCCCCAACACCAGGGCCTGACCATCTCCTGCAGAGTTGCTCCAGGAGTCGTCGGCAGAAGCAATAGCTTCCTACATACAAAGGCGGCCTGAGTCTCCCTTCCAGGGCCTCCCTGCCCCCTCAGCCAGGGTGCCAAGCAGGCTGGCCTGCGGCCCCTCTGGCCACACGCTGCTGGCCAACTCTGCCTGTATTTATTTCTTCCACGGCTAAAGCCAACTAAAAACCCACTGAATATGACCAGTTCCCATGAAAAGGGGATGGGAGGAGGGGTGAGCTTCACTTACTGATCATCCTGAACTATCATACAAGGTGGCAAGAGTTACAGGAACGAGGACCACCAGAAGGAAAAATGTCTCCGTGCTAAAACCAAAACCACCACCAATACCCTAAACCCTAACACCAACTAGGCGAAGGGGAGCCTCTGAGCCTCTGCCTTATAAACCCACACGTGACATGGGGACTGCTGGGGGCCAGAGCATCAGCATGTGCATGGACTGGACTGCCCTGGCGCTCAGGCAGCACGTGGAGGGCTGGGGCAGAGCTGTCCTGAGACAGTGGAGAAAGGTGCCTTTCTAAGGTTGCAGAGGGCATTTCCACAAATCAAGCAATGGATCCGAGTCCGTTTTAGGTTTACCTTTAGCCATTACTTTTCTTTACCAACATTTTATTGTGAGCGTTTTCAAACATGCAGAAACGTCATGCACCCACACCTAGGTGCTGTAAATAGTCTGTTGTTTCTCCATCTGCCAATCCGTTGATTTTGGGGTGCATTTAAAGCAAGCTGCAGACAGGAGTCCACATTCCCTCTGAACGCATCGCTGTGCGTGTCATGGACAGCAGCTCCTTGCGTGTTTACGTTTTGGGTTAATTTCTCTATGGTGAGAGGCATGAGTCCTACAGATGCCATGGACGAGCTCTGGAGGCTGCACCCGCCATGCGGCCCAACCCACTTCCCACCCCTGCCCCAAGGACATCTCTACCACCCATCAAACACACATTCATTGGGGCTGCACACTCTGATGCTACAAATCTTTTGATTCTAACCCCAGACTAGCTTTATTTGTGACTTGCAGGCCCCAGATGATATTAAATAAACCATTCTCCAACTGAATGGAATAGTGGTGACTTCCATTCTGAGGCATATGGGAAGGGAGCTGCTCCCCAGGGAGGAGGAGGCTGCATTTTAAGGCCACGCCCTCCTCCCTGCCTCGGTCTCAACCACCTCACTTAGCTGTAATGTGAGGCTTCAAGATCGAGGCTCACTCCTTCCAAGGGCCACTGTACTACGCAGAGTCCAGTCTCTAACCCCAAAGGCACTGTCCCCTCACTGGGGTCAGGGAGTGAAGGCAGAAGGTGAGAGCAAAAGCTACAACTGCTCTTCTAACTACTTAGGGCCAACATCCCACTGAGGCTGACCCCAAAAGCACCACCCTGCACTCTGCATTTTGGTGCAGAGGGTCACCAGAGTGACCCTCACTGCCTGGCTGCTATTGGCCCTAACTGGGAGCTGCTGTAAGGCTCAGCCAGGCTTCTGTGTCCTGCATGCCCCAACTTCCCCATCACCAGGCAGAGGCAGCTGGCAAAAAGCTCACACAGGGCCCAGGCTCTCCCAGGCCATGTGGGCCAAGGAGCCGGAGCAAGGGAGCTGCCCTGAATTGCTCCACGTTGCCCTGGCTGGCCTGCAGTTCCCCGGCGGGGGCGCGGGAAGTATAAAAAGACTAACTGCAAGTGTTACCATTTTATTGTGTGAACAAGAGCTGGAAACCAGTGAAGAAATGAAATCTCACCCACCTGCCAGCCATTGACAATCTTCTGGTTAAAAATCCCAAATTCATAGCGGATTCCATAGCCGTACGCTGCCAGGCCCAAGGTGGCCATTGAGTCAAGGAAACACGCTGAGAAATCAATCACAGATCAGTCAGAATCGAAGGCACGGCACCAAGGTCCCATGGGGAGGCAGCCCACAGGACGCAAGGCAGAGATTCAGAGGGGATCACACTGACTTCAGGCTTCACTGAGAGGAAAACTGGAGCCCTCACCCTCCCCATGAGATCCTGGGGCCACACACAGAAGACATCAACGTGGTTACTCAAAGGGCACGGGAGGATGGGGAGATGAAGAATCCCGGAGAACTCCGCCAGGCCGGGAACCTCTCTAAACACGAAGCCTCCCACTGCCCCACTCTTGGACACCCCAGTTCAGGCTGAGGCCTCGCCAATCCCCTGCACATTCCACTGAAACCCAAGCTGTTCTGACAGCAGGGACACATCAACACACCAAGCCTCACCCTACTCCTCCGTGAAGCCGGCACAGCAGTGGCAGCTGGCCACGTGCAAATCAACGTCCACCTGTGCAAACACCGCAGTACCAGGGGCCCCAAGGCGCTACAGCACGTGTCATTAAACCCAGCCCTTGTTCCAATCAAAACTTCTTGGAAGAAAAACAAAACAATGTTTTGAATAAAGATTTAGAGGCTAGGTGTGGTGGCTCACACCTGTGATCCCAGCACTCTGGGAGGCTTAGGTGGGACGATCGCTTGAGTCCAGGAGTTTGAGACCAGTCTGGGCAACATAGTGAGACCCTGTCTCTATAAAAAATACAAACAATTAGCCGTGCATGGTGACGCATGCCTGTGGTCCCAGCTACTCGGGAGGCTGGTGTGGGGGAATTGCTTGAGCCAGAGAGGTTGAGGCTGCAGTGAGCCAAGACTGTGCCACGGCACTCCAGCCTGGGCGAGAGTGAAATGCAGCCTTATTAACGCTTCAGGACCAGCTGGGCGCGGCGGCTCACGCCTGTAATCCCAGCACTTTGGGAGGCCGAAGCGGGCAGATCACGAGGTCAGGAGATCAAGGCCATCCTGGCTAATGCGGTGAAACCCCGTATCTACTAAAAATACAAAAAAATTAGCCAGGCGTGGTGGCGTGCACCTATAGTCCCAGCTACTCGGGAGGCTGAGGCAGGAAAATGGTGTGAACCCGGGAGGCAGAGCTTGCAGTGAGCTGAGATCACGCCACTGCCCTCCAGCCTGGGCGACAGAGCAAGACTCCGTCTCAAAAAAAATAAATAAATAAAAAATTCAGGATTAAAAAATCAAAAAAACACCGACATGGAACACTAGTAACTAAAATAAAATGTCCAATCCATGGAACACACAGATGCCTGTGAGGCCCTCTGCTGAGGCAGAGGGATGAGGGAGCGTCACGGACTCTTGTTCTGGGGACTTGCCTGCAGGAGGGAAGCACATGAAGCCATGGCGGGCTCAGTGCTGCCTGGGTCTGTGGGTACGGGGCCCTGTGGGCAGAAGGCAAAGGCTCTACTCATATCTGGCCATGGAGAAGGATGGAGGGAGGAGCAAGGGGCAGGCAAGGTGACTGGGAAAGCCCAAGGACCCGGAACACCCCAAATGGAAGCAGGTCTCAGGGCTGGGGAGGGAGCAGTCCACAGTCTCCAGCTTGGAGGTGAGACGTGGGGTGAATGGCCGCCCCTGGGGTTGTCAGTAGATGGGGACAAAGGAGGCTGGAGCTTCCCTTGAGTGTAGGAAGCCCAGTTTTGCATTTGATGAGAAGGGACGTAGCAGGAAGATGGTGGTGACCCATCACATGTTGCAAAGGCCGGGGCGTGGAGAGGGCTGAAAACCTTCAAAGCTCAGTGCCCTGCCTTCTTATTTCAAGGCAATCTGCTGACTGTATCAGAGTTGAAACTGCCTGCTGCAAGCAGGGCCAGTCCATAAATCATCTTTCCATCCTTTGGGCTGTCTGCCAATCACTGGCTCTTGTGCCCTGGAAAGTGGTCAGCATATCGGGAGCCCCTCCCAGCACCAGCTTACTCCATGCTGGCAGGACTGGTCTTCATGATAATGATGACATGCCCCTTGTGTGAAAGAAAACATGTATTTTCCCCTTTTCCCCCGAATAGTGGCAAAGATTTCAATCTGAAGAACACACTGGCCCATCCGCTCAAAGCCAATTTACCCTGAAGCCAATTTACCTGACCCTGGCCTCACTACATGGCCACCAACCAAGCCAACAGGTCTAAGAGAGCTCCTCCTGGATGGGGCAGCTTACCTGCCAGCCTCCCCAGGCCTCCATTCCCAAGGCCAGCATCTTCTTCTATCTCCTCGAGTTCCTCCAAGTCCAACCCCAACTGCAAACAAAAACAGAGGCAGCATTTTAATGTTACTCAATATTTTCCCTTGAATGACAGGCTGAAAGATACGTAAGTCTTGTGAAATTAGAGTCTGGGTTCTGTTAGACTTGAAAATCCAATGTTAAAATTTGATGTTAATGCATGGAAATGAAAGTTTACAAATATTTCAAAAACATTTATTGCCAGGTAGTTAACCTATTAATAGTAAACACATTATAACATGTATCCTAAAAACAAAACCAATGGTTCTGTCATTCTCTAATTTCACATAGGTTGAGATATTTACATGACATATTTTTAAACTGAACCCTAAAAGCACTTTTCCTGTGGTGATTCCAATTGTATTCAAACAATGTTGTGAAATAGATATGTCATGCTAAAAATTAGAGAAAAAGCAATAAAATCACGATTGACACTTAACGCCATTCCAGAAGCCGAACTCAGTACTCTCATTATGGCATCTGGATAAATATTCCATTAATCTGGATTTAGTGCGCGAACTTGACAAATTGCTCACATTATCTGGATTGGTAGTCTTTAAACTTTTTGGTCTCAGAAGAATCCAAACAGCTTTTGTTTATTTGAATTACATATATTGATATTTATCAAATTACAAATTAAAATGCAGACCTTTTTAAAGTATACATATGAATTCATTTAAAAATAGTAAACCCAATACATGTTAACATAAACAACAAAGTTTAATTTAAAAAAAGTACATTTTTGAAACCAAAAAAATATCCACTGAGAAGAGTGGTAGTATTTTAAATAACAACAGCAAAGTTACAAATGATTTAGCATACACTAAGTCAAATGAATGGTATTGACACATACAGTAATTTGATTCAGGGTAAAATTTCAAAATACTGTGACTTGAACTTAATTCCTAAAGCAATTTCAAAGGGTACATTCCACCAACAATATTTTGGATATAGGGAGGTGGGTGCTAGGATTTACTCAATAATGCATTACTTGCTCAAAGTTAAGAAATTAGTTTAACTACAACATAACCAACCAGAAAACCTCTAAGTTTATGGTCTAAACCGATCTTAAAACCTCTCATTCATAAAAAAATCTATTAAATTCAAAAAATCCATTAAACTTTTTAAAAATCTCTATATATTTTTCTAAAGACAGGCTACAAGTCAACATAGGGAAAGATGTTTAGTTCCTTCATGTTTTTAAATTGAGTGCCTACAGCACACTCATCCCACCTAGGAGGGCAAATGTCACCTTGATTTTGTGAGCATTCGAGAAAGATGTAAAAAGTCTGGGTGCGGTGGCTCAAGTCTGTCATCCCAACATTTTAGGAAGCCAAGGTGGGAGGATCATTTGATCTCAGAAGTTCAAGACCAGCCTGGGCAACATAATGAGATGTCTCTACTAAAAATAAAAAATAGGCGACGTGGCGGGCGGCTGTAGTCCCAGCTACTTGGGAGGCTGAGGCAGGAGAATGGCGTAAACCCAGGAGGCGGAGCTTGCAGTGAGCTGAGATCCGGCCACTGCACTCCAGCCTGGGCGGCAGAGCGAGACTCCGTCTCAAAAAATAATAATAAAATAAAATAAAAAATAGGCCGGGCGCGGTGGCTCAAGCCTGTAATCCCAGCACTTTGGGAGGCCGAGATGGGCAGATCACGAGGTCAGGAGATCAAGACCATCCTGGCTAACACAGTGAAACCCCGTCTCTACTAAAAAATACAAAAAACTAGCCGGGCGAGGTGGCAGGCACCTGTAGTCCCAGCTACTTGGGAGGCTGAGGCAGGAGAATGGTGTAAACCCGGGAGGCGGAGCTTGCAGTGAGCTGAGATCCGGCCACTGCACTCCAGCCTGAGCAAGACTCCGTCTCAAAAAAAAATAAAAAAATAAAAAAATAAAAAATAAAAAATAAATTAGCTGGGTGTGATGGCGCATGCCTACAGTCCTGGCTACTCGGGAGGCTGAGGCGGATGACTTGAGCCCGGGAGGTTGAGGCTACAGTGAGCCGTGATCGTATCATTGTACTCCAGCCTGGGTGACAGAGTAAGACCCTGTCTCAACAACGACACAAAAAGTAGCTAACAGAAAGTCCAAAACTGCTGAAGTGAGCTTCTGAACTGAAGACAGAAAAAGTGCACTGCAGTACACCCAGTAACCTTTATCTCTTTATTGAGATATAATTCATTAACCATAAAATTCACCTTTTAAAAGTGTATGTTCACAAAATTGTGCAACCATCACCACTAATTCCAAACCATCATATCAAAAAGCAGTCCCGTGCCCATCAGCAGTCATAACCTATTTCCCCCACCTCTGCCAATCACTGATCTACTCTCCATCTCTATGGATCTACCTATTTTGGTTATTTCATGGCTTCTTCCAATGAGCATGTATTCAAGCTTCATCCATGTTGTGCCATATGTCAGCCCTTCCCGTCTTTGTACTGCTGTGTACTATTCCACTGTATGGCTAGCCCACATTTTGCTTACCTATATATCAACTGATAAACATTTGGATGTTTCCACTTTTGGCTGTTATGAACAATACTGCTGTGAAATTCATATACGATTTTTCATGTAGACGTATGTTTTCATTTCTTTCAGGCCTATACCTTGGTATGGAAATGCTAGGCTACACGAGAATTCCATGCTTAACTTTTTGAGTAACTGCCAGACTATTTTCCAAAGTGACTGCAAGATTTGACAATCACACCAATGGCTATACACCCTCACCAACACTTGTTTTCTGTGTTTATGATTATAGCCATTCTCGTGGGTATGAAGCGGCATCTCATTGTGGTTTTGATTTGCATTTCCCTCATAGCTAATCACATTAAGCATCTTTTTTGTGCACGTGGATATCATCTTTGGAGAAACATCCAAGTCTTTTTGCCCATTTTTCAATTGGGTTGTCTTTTTGTGGCTGTCAGAGTTCTTTACATATATTCTGGATACTAGACTCTTACCAGATTTAGGATTTACAAATGTTTTCCCTCATTTTGTAGGTTGTCTTTATTTAACGCACAAAAGTTTTTCATTTTGATGAAGTCCAATGTATCTATTTTTTCTTTCGTTGCTTGGGTTTTTGGTGTCATATCTAAGAAATCATTCTAATCCAAGGTCACGAAGATTGATCTCTATATATTTTTCTAGAAGTTGTATTCTTTTAGCTCTTACCATTTAGGTCTTTGATCGATTTTGAGCTAATTTTTGTATGTAGTGTGAGGTAGGGGTTCAACTTCATTTATTTGCATGTAGATATCCAAATATCCCAATACCGTTTGTTGAAAAGACATCTTTCTCCATTGAATTGTTTTGGTACCTATTTCCTTTCAAAAAAATCTATTGATCTATATGACACCAATCTTACAGGCAACAAAGGAAAAAATAAACAAACTAGACTTCATAAAAATTAAAAACTTTTGTGAATCAAAAGATACTATCGACCGGCCGCAGTGTCACACACCTGTAATCCCAGCACTTTGGGAGGCCAAGGCAAGTGGATCACTTCAGGTTAGGAGTTTGAGAACAGCCTGACCAACAAGGTGAAACCTCATCTTTATATAGAGAGTAATATAATATGTACTATCAACACAGTAAAAAGACAAGCCATAGAATGGGAGAAAATACTCACAAATCACGTATCTGATAAGCTATTAATATCTAGGACGAATAGAGAATTCTTAAAATTCGACAACAAAAAAACAAACAACCTGATTCAAAATGAGTAAACGACTTGAACAGGCTTTTCTTCAAACAAGATATACAAATGGCCAACAAGAACATGAAAAGATGCTCAGCATTATTAGTTATCAGGAACATGCAAATAAAAACTATAAGACACCATTTTACACCCATTTAGAATGACTACTATCAAAAAATAGTAGTCATTTCTATTTTCAATTCAAAAGAAGCATTGGTGAGGATGTACAGAAACTGGAACTCTTGCCTACTTTTGGTAGGAATGTAAAATGGTGCTACTGCTGTGGAAAACATTTTGGTAGTTCCAAAAAAAATTAAAAATGGAACTGCCATATGATCCATTAATTCCATTTCTAGGTATATAATCAGAAGCACTGAAAGCAGGATCTTAAAGAGATATTTGTACAACTATGTTCACAGCAGCATTATTCACAATAGCCAAAGGTAGAAGCTCCCCAATGTCCACTGAGAGATGAATGGATAAACAAAATATGGTATATACACATAATAAAAATTTATTCAGCCTTTACAAGGAATGAAGTACTGGCACATGCTACAACATGGATGAACCTTCAGGACATTTTGCTTGAGTGAGATAAGCCAGTCACAAAAGGACAAATAACGTATGATTCCACTTAAATGAGTACCTAGAGTAGCCAAATTCATAGAGACAAAAAGCAGAACAGTGGTTTTCAGGGGCTAGGCAAAGAGGAAAGGAGGAGTTATTTTTTAATGGGTATAGAGTTTCAGTTAGGAAAGATGAAAAAGTTCTAGAGATGGATGGTGGTGATGGATAAAGAACAAGGTAAAGGTACTTAATGCAATTGAACTGTACAGTTAAAAAAGGTTACAATGGCAAATTTTATGTTATGTATATTTTACCACAATTTTTTTAATTGGCAGAAAAACAACAGACCATACATATGAGACTTATTTCTGGACTTTGTTTTTTTTTGTTTTTTTTTTTTTTGGAGACAGGGTCTCGTTCTATCACCCAGGCTGGAGTGCAGTGGCACGATCCCAGCTCACTGCAGCCTCGACCTCCTGGGCTAAAGCAATCCTCCTCCTCAGCCTCCAGAGTAGCTGGGACCACAGGTGAGCACCACCACACCTGACTAATTTTTTTCTTTAAATTTTCTTGTAGAGACAGGGTTTCACCATGCTGCCCAGCCTGGTCACAAACTCTTGAGCTCATGCAATCCACCCACCTTGGCCTCCCAAAGTGCTGGGATTACAGGTGTGAGCCACCATGCCCAGCCTATTTCTGGGACTCTTAATTCTAATTCCATTGTTCTGTCCTTATGCTTCTAACACACAGTC